ATGTGGATTAAAAGTTAAGTTGGTTTAAAAATAAATAAATAATAATATAAAAAAAAGAAAAGATCAATCAAATGGTTTTTTTTGTGGGGGGGGGGAGCTAGAAAAGGCGAACTAAAGGAAAAAAAGGGGACACTTTTTCTTTCTTCCCTATTTGGTGAACTGTGTGCACCACCAAACCGTTTTCAAACCAGCCATTTCATGTAAGTTCCTCAAATTCTCAGCTGATTCTCCTATCTCCTTCACCTGTAACTTGCTTAAATATCTTCTCCCTTCCCTCTCTACCAAAAATCAAGGGTTATTAAGGTCTAATTCGGATAGAACTCCATAGGAGAACCCGGGGGTTCTCAACGACGAATTGTCATTCCGAAGAGTATCACCACTAACCATCATCCTTAATCAACTTCCCTTGGACCCAAGAACAGGACCTAACTGGTGGTTGGGGCGTTGGAACACCAAGGAAACCGAAGTGAAGAACACCCACCTTAGGGTTCGTTGGGTGTGAGCCAATTTGAGGGCCTTCCAGGCCAAATTGGACTCGACCACAGGTATAAAGTTTACTCTACTTGTTGAAATCTTTATTCTTGTAAAATTTGAGAATTTTTAGAGAAAGTCAAATTTTCCGGTGTGTGACATTCGATTTATGAAAATGTTGTTGGTTGAGTATTTTATCGATAAGGTCCGCCACTTGATAACGCTAACAATTGACGATCTTACAGTGTATTGACACTAATTTTAGTATGCTATGGTAGATATTGTTTAAGGACCTTAGGGACTTACAAGTGAAAATCTAGTGATTAGATATTACGGAATAAGTGACGTAAGATCATGGACCCTACCTTAGAATGATAGTTCGATTCCTCATTAAATGTTGTTGTGGGAGATATATGAGAGTTTTAAGTATGTGAATTATCGAAGGAAATATAAATGTGGTTTGTACCTTGTTAGGCGGTGATAGAACGTGATGCCTTGACTCTCGTTTTTGAGTGCGTTAGTGTGGATCTCAGGTGAGTGATTCTAATAAACTTTGTGGTTACACTATGGATTTTTAAAATAGTTCTGATGCTAAATAATTGTTGCTATTAAGTTGTCGTCGATCTACTTATGAAACATTAGGTGACTTGGATATTTGAACTGTGATGGATTGTGTTTTGGGATATATATGTAGGTTGATAAAAATGATGGATTGTGTTTTGGGATATATATGTGATGGTTGATAAAAATGATGGATTATGTTTTGGAATATATATTTGATGGTTTGATAGAAATGAAGGATTGTAAAGGACCATTACCCTAGTGTCATGGGGTTAGGTGACACTAAGTCTGCATCACGTAGCAATGGTCCTGGATGGTCCTGCTTGGTTAATCCGCGTTAAGGGACCATACTATTTGCGGATCGCGCTTGGTTAATCTGCGTTGGGCGATCCTTATATCCTAGGTATATACACATTTAAAGGTGATCATGCTTGGTTAATCCGCATTGGGTGATCACCTTCCAATAGTTATAGGAGTGACTCTGCTTGGTTAATCCGCATTGGGGGGTCACTACCTATTTGGTTATTTTCTCAGGGGTGACTCTGCTTGGTTAATCCGCATTGGGGGGTCACTACCTACTTGGTTACTTTCTTAGGGGTGGCTTTGCTTGGTTGATCCGCTTTGGGGGGCCACTTCCTATTTGGTTACTTGTGTAGGCTTCAGCCGAACGACGTCTCTCTAACTATGTTTTGAATATATCTGTGAATGTGGCTTTGAGAACTCTGAGTTTTGATTTAGAAAACTCGTTGGATGTATGTGTGACTCATTCGGAGGTTGCAAGGTTTGGTAGTGATTTCTTATAAATGATTTATATTCAAGGTTTATAATTGTGAATGATGGTTGGTTTTATTATTAGTATCATATACTTTGTTTTATTTATCGCTCACACAAGCTTCGTAGCTTATCTGGGTTGTTGTTTGCTCGGTGCACCATTTCGATGGTGTAGGCACTGATCTTACAGGTAACAAGTCTGAGTAGCTTCGAGAGGTTCGTAGGTGGGGTAGCGGTACAGTTATCAGAGATTTGGAGTGCTAGGTTACCCCTATCCTATCTTGTACTTTATCTTTGGGACTTTCTTTTGAGCACCTCAATCTTGTTCTTAGTAAAGCAAAGATTATGCTTCTTTTTGGGATGTACATATTTGTAAATATTTTGTGGAGAACTTAGCCACCTTCATATTATTTTGGTTTATCAATTAAAGTATTTTATTCTGTAACTTATACCGTATTCAACGGACATTATTTTCCTTTTCACGTGTCGATTCTCGACGTATGTTGGGATCGGGCGTGACAAGTCTGCCTTATTATCAACCACATGAGTTCTACATTATCAATTGGCAGAGAATTTAAAGCAGTTAAAGTGACAGAAATTTCATGCAAGCATAGTCAAAGCAAACAAATTGTTATGGGGTCCTATCCTAGCATGCAAATTCTATGTCCTAAGGTGGGCTAGGTCTTATGTGGTTGCTAAGCTTTATTCGCATGGGGCTGTGGAGATTAAAAATCCTCATGAGTTCAAGGTAGGTCACATGCCTGAACTGTACTTAGTGTCACGTCTATTACACAAGTCATTGACTCTAAATGATCAAGTGACTTAACCACTAGACTTCTGCTGCATCTATTACCCAAGTTTCCAATTCTTTCCTTATTTTCTTTAAGTTTTGTTTTATGTTTATAGATATTTTTAATTTCTTAAACTTTATTTTATTTTAGTTTGTTTTCAACAGTTTCAAAAAAAAAAGGAAAATAGAAAACCTTGAAAAATCCAAAAATATATATATTTTTTATTTTAAATTTGTTTCTTTCCTAATTAGTTCTAGTTTAATTTTGTGTCTTACATTCCGTTTTTAATTTTCAAACACACTTGGTTCAAAAATTAATGAGTGCTTGTGAACATACTGTGATGTGTAAAACTGGGTTGGTAATACATGTTATGGATTAAAAAATTTGGGCTTTTGCGTAGTAGACAAAACATACAAACAGTAAAGTTGGATCTTGCATCCAGCAACAAGTCTATCTTATCATCAACCACATCAGTTCCACATTATCAATTGGCAGAGAATTTAAAGCAGTTAAAGCGACATAAATTTCACACAAGCATAGTCAAAAGCAAACAAATTGTTATGTGGTCCTATCCTAGCATGCATATTCTATGTCTCTAAGCTGGGTGGGTGGGGCCTTATGTGGTTACTAAGATTTATTCTTATGGGGATGTGGAGATTAAAAAAGAGGTTAGTGGTCATGAGTTAATGGTCACAGGTTGGAAATGTATTTGGAATCATCCTATGATATTGCACGCGAGTCATTGACTCTGAAGAATTTAGTGGCTTAACAACTAAAATTTTGCTGCGTCTATCTATATACGTTAAATAAAGCGCTTATTGTGAGGCTACCCAGTTTTCCAACACTTTCAAAAAAATAAAAAATAGAAAACCTTGATATAAATGTTTTGTTTTTACCTTTTTCTTTCCTAATTAGTTTTAGTTTAATTTTGTGCCTTACATTCTGTTTTTAATTTTGTCCTAAACCCTGTTGTGTAAAACTGGGTTGGCAAAGCTTGCTATGGATTAAAAAACTTGGGCTTTTGCAGGTAGTAGACAAAACATACAAGATGGTCCTATTTTCAGCCATAATGAACGTACATAAAAGTAAAATTGGATCATGCATCCAAGCAACAAGTCTACCTATCATCAACCACATTAGTTATACATTATCAATTGACAGAGAATTTAAAGTAGTTAAAGTGACATAAATTTCCTAGCATGCAAATTCTATGTCTCAAAGGTGGGCTGGGCCTTATGTGTTTACTAAGGTTTATTCGCATGGGGCTGTGAAGATTAAAATTGAGGTTACAGGTCATGATTTCAAGGTTAATGGTTGCAGGTTGGAACCATACTTGGAGTCACCCTATGATACTAGCATGCGAGTCATTGACTCTGAAGAATTTAGTGACTTCTGCTGCATCCAGCTATAAACGTTAGATAAAGCGCTAATTGGGAGGCAACCTAATTTTCTAAACCTTTCCTTACTTTCTTTATGTTTTAAGTTTTTAATTTTAAGTTTCTAGATGCTTTTAATTTCTTAAGCTTTATTTAATTTTCAACAGTTTCAAAAGAAAAAAAAAAACCTTGAAAAATCTAGAAATATTTTATTTTTACTTCGTTTCTTTCATAATTAGTTCTAGTTTAAATTTTTATATCTTACATTCTATTTTTAATTTAAAAAAACATTCATGAGTACCTGTGAACATACTGTGCTGTGTAAAACTGAGTTGGTAAAACAAGCTAGGGAGTAAAAAAATTGGGCTTTTGCAGTTAACAGACAAAAGATACAAGGTGACCCTATTTTCAGTTACAGTGCACATAAAGAAAAGTAAAACTGGATCCTGCATCCAGCATCAACCACATCAATTTTACGTTATCATTGGCAGAGAATTTAAGGCAGTTAAAAGCAACAAAAATTTCATGCAAACATAATCAAAATCAAACAAATTGTTAAGTGGTCCTATCCCTAGCATGCAAATTCTACGTGTCTCTAAGGTGGGTCCTTATGTGGTTACTGAGATTTATTCACATGCAGATGTGGAGATTATTAAAAATGAGCTTAACGGTCATGAGTTCAAGGTTAATGGCCAGGTTGGGAAATGTACTTGGACTCCTATGGTAGCACGTGAGTCATTGACTTTAAAGGATCCAGTGGCTTAAACACAGGATTTCTGCTGCGTCTAACTATAGACGTAAAATAAAAAGCTTATTGGGATTTAACTCAATTTTCTAACTCTTTCCCTACTATCTTTTAAGTTTTTTTTATTTTTTTATTTTAAGTTTCTAGATGCTTCAAATGACGGTTCTATTTTCAGCTACGAATGTACATAAAGAAAAGTAAAACTGGATCCTGCATCCAGCAGCAAGTCTACATTATCATCAACCACATCAGTCTACATTATCAATTGGCAGAGAATTTAAAGCAGTTAAAATCGACAGAAATTTCATGGAAGCATAGTCAAAGCAAACAAATAGTTATTGAGGGGGATTTTAGAAAGCATACCAGAACAATTCTGATGAAGTTTCTGCATTTGGATCCACTCACTCCACTCAACTCACTCCCACCCCATAAATTATACACCACTTTGAAATTCCTAGATACACTTTCCTACAGATCGGGGGTCCAAATGCAGAAATGTCCACTACGCTAGTCCGGTTAGTCCAAAGTTTCATCAGCTGTACATTTTTGCTGGATTCATGCATAAACTTTCAGTTAGGATTTCATACGAGTTCAACATTTTTGCAATAGGGATGCATGTTTTTTTTTCCTCCGAATCCAGAATTGTAATTTAATAAAATGTGGATCTAATATATTTTATCTTTTATGGCCACTGCTCTGAAATTTCTAACAATGCTCTTTTAAATTTAAATGGACAAATGTATGGTAGTGTACGGAAAATATGACCAAATAAACTCAGAAAGGTCTGGGCACAACAATGGCTTCTGTTGTGACATGAAACCAATACCAAAAATTGTAATTCAAACTAAAATTGAAAAACCAAAATGTAAACAAAAGATCCTTTGGGCTGCTGTTGGAGCAATTGTGCAAACCTCATATATAAACATCAAAATATAAGTATCATCTTTCCTGAATAGCGATGATTATAATGTCTCGAATTAGTTCATTTGTAAAGGAAAGCTACTAGAAAACGAATCAAACCTAGGGCATTCTTTTCTGGTGAGGTTGTGGACATCCCTGAGGCGCTGGTCAATGATTCGGCCCAACTCCCCCCCCCCCCCCCAAAATTCTCGGACCGTTTCCAAAATTTCAAAGAAAATAAATGCAAACGAAGAACATAAATTAAGAAAAATTCAGAAATTGAAAAATTACGTTAAATTTACATCCTGGGGTTCTGCTACTTCTCTTACCTTGGAAATTTGAAGGCCTAACGAGAGCTGGATTGTTCTATTTTGATCCCATTTCGATCACCTTCAATACGAAATCACCATCAAACAACAGAAATCAAAAACTCAAAAACCCCAAATTAAAATTTGAATGAAAGCAGAAAAACTCATGATCTAGAACAGGAAGAACAATAAGAAAACGTCCGAAAATCTGAAACAGTGGAAACCCAGAACATTCGAAATTTAAAAAAAAAAAAAAACGAATGATCGAAAGAAACCCACAAACCTTGAAGAGAAATCAAGGGACTCGATTACAGTAAGGCAAATAACAAAGCTTTGAATCTTCAAACTCCCGAGAGAGAAATGAATGCCATAGGAAGCCGCTCTCTCTCTCTCTCTCTCTCTCTCTCTCTCTCTCTCTCTCTCAATCAGATTCAAATTGGGAGAGAAGGGCATGTGCTCGTCTCGTTTTGAATAACGGCTACTAATTCCTGACCGTCGGATCTTCATACTACCGAAAAGTCTAGATGGTCTGTCTCTAACGGCTATCTCGCTTTTCTGCTCCGTGCCCTATTTATTATTTCAAATGTTTTTTTATGGTTTTTTGTTTTATTAGTTGGGCCTGGGCCTGGGCCTTGACCTTTTTGTATCTATTGGTTTCCAACTTTACCCACAAAAATCCAACAAAGAAAAATAATAATTTTACCAAAAAAAAAAAAAGAAACTTTATAAAAAAAAAAGTCTTACATAGTTTCAAACCTAGAATGTCACGTGCAATAATAATTTTTTCAATCAATATAAATGATTTAATCATTTGAGCTACAAGTCCCATTGTACTATTTTTCTTTACTTCTTCTATGTAGCAATGAGTAAGGTGAAAATGAAAAGGGTAGTGCGCCACACATTCATTTTTACTTCTCAAGCACCTTTCTTAATTTTCAGTTGTTTGATTGAATGAGTTGAAAAAAAATTAATAGCAAAAAATTAACAAGGTTGAACATTGGATGTGTTTTTTCTTTTCTTTTTTTTTAATTTTTTTTTAATGTGTGGACATGTTTCTCTTGATTCAAATTATTGTGTAGGATGGATCGGTCACAAGAATTCGAATGCATAAATAATTGTTTATCATTACGTATGGTCGAAGCCTTTTTCATGGAAGCTAGACATTATGGTTTATTTGCCTTGATAGGAAGATATTGGGAGGGTAGGCATTTGAACTGTCACATAACTAGAAGAAAAGTTTAAAGAAACGAATTAAAGTAGTTTTTTTTTAATTTTTTTTAAATTTTTTTTAATATTGTTCCCTGATTAATTACATTAACACCCCCTGAAGTTTATCGAGTTTTCACAAAATCTCTTTATGTTTAAGACATTACACTAACACCCTCCAGATTTTGATTCACTTTCAAATAACTCCTTTCAGTCAAAATTTTGGCAATGAAATGACAAGTTTACCCTATAACTAATTTCATAAACAATAAAGAATTATATTAGAAAAAGTAAATATCACAAAAAAAAAAAAAATCAGTAAAAAGAGGGTTGGTGGAGCAACCACCCTGATCTCGAGCCCATTTCAACACCCGTTTCTTTGTGGCGCAGCTCGACCTTGGACTGCCAGTTTCCACCGTCGCCATTTTTGAGAGAAACCCAGAAATTCTAACACCAAATTTTTCACCAAAGTTGGGGTTTTTGATCAATTTGAACAAAACTCAGATGAGATTATATGCAAATTTTCAGAAACAGAGAAGAACCCAAAATCTAGAACTCTTCTCGCCGTAGTGGAATGGTCAATTGATGACTCTTTCTTTCTTGATAGATATATGACTTCTGCTTGGGGGAGGAGTTGAAGGACCTGGGCAGCGGGCAGGCATGGGGAGAGGAAGGGATGGAGGTGGGCTGCGGGGGAGGAAGTTCTCAATATTATAATTATTTTTTATGTTTAATTTATTCTTTTATTGTTTAAAATTATTTTTAATGAATTTATTCTTTTAGTGTTTAATTTATTTATTTTAAATATTTTCTTTTTCTAATATTTTTTTTGTTGTTGTTTAAATAATTAGTTATAAGGGTAAAGTTGTCAATTTATTAGCAAAATTTTGACTAAAGGGTTTATATGTAAGTAAATTGAAACTTAAGAGAGTGTTAGTGTAATGTTTTAAACGTGAAAGGATTTTGTAAAAACTCGATAAATCTCAAGAGGTGTTGGTATTATTAACCCTACTGTTCACCCACTACACTAGTAAAAATTTAACAAAACTGTTGGAGTTTTTTATTTTATTTTTTAATACATACTGTTCACCCTCAGTGCGTTGCTTGTATATGCAAACCCACGTAATTGCATGATAAAAATTGAACAGTGTTGATTTAAACGAGTGTATCGTACTCGTATTTAGAGGATCATCTCATTTTACGATGGGTAGACCCAAAAGAAATTAAAAAGTTGAATTAATTAAAAAATTTGAGTGTATCGCACTCTTATCAGTGACGGATCTAGGATTCCAACTTTAGAGGTTTTTAGTATAGTATAAAAGTTACTATAATGTTAGGATAGAAGAGAGTGCTAGCTTTCAAATCTATATAAGCAGAATCGACTCGTTTATAAAAATTTGAGTTGCACCAATATTCCAAGAAATTCGTAGAACTTACCCAAAATATAGAGTTCCTTCATTTTTGTTTCCAGGGAAAATTGGAGGCGAGTTGCCTTGAGTTCTTCCTTTGATTGTTTTCTAATGATGAACATATGTGTGTTGTGTTTTATAGCATTAACTTTATGCATTAGAATTGAGGGGTTAATTATACTAACATCTCTTGAGGTTTATCGAGTTTTCACAACCCCCTCACGTTTGAAATATTACACTAACACTCCTTTAGGTTTTAATTCACTTTCACATAACCCCTTCACTCAAAATTCTACTATCAAATTCACCACTTTACCCTTATAATTAATTATGCAAACGTTAAAAAAGTCTTTATAATTATATATAGAAAAAAATATAAAAAATATAAAAAAAAAACAATAAAAATAGAAAAACCACCACTCCATGAAATCTCCTCCCTTCGACTCCATTGCTAGTCTACAACCCTAGCCACCCTCGGACCCTCCTTTGTGTGTTTTCCCAAAACCACCACTCCAACTTCGACCACAAATTCAAACTCTAAACATGAAGAACAACCACCCCTCGCTGATAAAGCTGATATAACGGGACAAGAAGACGTCAACAATCCAGTGAAAAAAGCCGATCTTGCTTCGTGGGTCAAATTAGATTTGTGGCCAGCCACTATGCATCGCTTAGCCGTTGCGGATCAAATCGATTCATTTCAGACCATCACGTTCACGTTGTGGATTCTGATTTGTTGCGTCAACTGTGTTCATAACCGTTTTCCCAATTTTCAGATCCAGCACTCTAACATCTCTGAATTTGACTCCATCTTCCATTTACACCTCATCTCTCCCTCTCCCTATCTCTCTCTCTCTCTCTCTCTCTCTCTCTCTCTCTCTCTCTCTCTGAATCTGTTCGAAATTTTTGTTGGATTCTTTTGGAACGTTGTTTAAGCGTTTAAGTTGATGATTTCATATGGCGCAAATTGTATAACATAAGGTAGAACTAAACGTAGATGTAAAACGTTTAGAAACTAAACTGTACAAAAATTTAGAGTTCAAAGAGAATAAATATTTTGTGCAAGATAATTGGGTCACAGCCTCCACTTTGTGATGAAGAACTACAACAATAGTAATCTTTTTTATGTTTAATGTATTTTTAGTGACAATTTTTAATGTTTAATATATTTTTTAATATTGTCATTTTCTATATAATTGTAAGGATTTCTTTATTGTTAATTAAGTAATTAGTTATAAGGGTAAAGTTGTCAATATATTAGAAGAATTTTGACTGAAGGGGTTACTGTGAAAGTGAAATAAAAAGTGAAGGGGGGTGTTAGTGTAACGTCTCAAACGTGAGGAGGTTTGTGAAAACTCGATAAACCTCAGGAGATGTTAGTGTAATTAACCCTAGAATTGAGTAAGAGGTTGGGTATTTTACCCATTGGTTGTATTGATGTTTTAACTTTATGCGAAATTGAAATATTAGGTTTGTGAAGCTAATTCATCCGTTACTAGGTTTGCTTTACTATATATTTGTCGAATTTAGTGACAACATTAATCAATAACTTTTTACAAGAAACGATAGAGTGATTTCATTAATAAGAACTAAAGAGATACAGAGGGTAACAAATGAGTACAACTTCTAACTAGTGACCAATTTCTTAATCTGAAAAGAAATCCACATAACCATCTCAAGCACCAAGAGCAACCAGTACATATCTGGAAAACCATCACTAACTTAAAATCCTATATTAGTTGCAACGTCTTTACCTTTTGAACATGTTCTTTCTGTTTATTATTACCACTAGCCTACTACTGCCAAACTTTAAATATGTTCTTAAAAATATGGAAATGTTGTGACATATGTTCTAATACATATTATGAATGTGTAAATCCTAATCAGAGATAGATTAGGAATCCTTTAGGATCTAGAAGATCTTTCCTAAAATACTTTGTATTACTTGAAGAGCAAGTTTCCGTCCTCCTTATTATTATCATTAGAGGCACAAGAACTGAGGAATTAACATACAATTCCTGAAGTCTATTATCCACTCTCTTTCTCTCCATGCTGCACCTCTCAGTTAAATATAGGCCACAACACGTTATCACCACGCTCCTACTGCTGCGCTTAAGGAATCTGACGTAGAAATTATTTGTCTTCAACTAGGGGAGTATTACGTTTCAATTATTCTTAATTGATTAAATTTTGAGTTTTTTTATTGATTCATATAGTTTTATCGATTCCATTTATTTATTTATTTTTTTGTGTTGAACGTGATACAAGCTTTGGAGATGGAAAGCCGAAATTGAAGACAAAACCCGTTCACAATATTCATCATGCAATCCAGGTTCTTCTAAAACAACATTGTTTATCTTTATATTTTTTCAGCCTTGATTGCATGACCATTCACCATAATGCATGACCCAACTTTACATTTTACGAATTTTAGATTCTACATAAATTGTATATGCATTATAATCATAATATTGCTATTATGTGAATTAAATATGTGTGAATAAAGAAAAAAAAAAGAAAAAAGGGATTTTGAAACCCTAGAACTCGTAATGGGCTTAGACGCCCTAGTCTACTTTAGCCTAGGCTTGATTTACAAATCCCCAACTTGAGCATGCAACTCACACTGGAGCCGTTGAGCCGAAGCTCACGCTAAGCCAGATACAAGGGTCCCGAATGAATTGTCGTTCACATCTTCTTCTCTATCCACCTTATCGCCTTTGTGCAATTTTATGTCGAGATATATGATCTCCAAAAACATAAACGACTTGCAGTCGTTTCCAGGTGAGACCCACAATTTCTCGATGACCTGAAGTCGTCGCAGTGGTGAAAGCAGACGACTAGATGTCGTCCGATCTCCTCCTCAAGATTTCTTTAAATTCTCAATGGAATTTAGAGTTTTTAATACTCCAAAATTGTTTGGAACACCATCCC